TGTCTCGAATCATACCTCGAGCTTGTCTCGAGCCATGCTGAGCTGAATTGGCCGGTTGAGCTGGGCTTGAGCCATCAGGTGGGCCCTATCAATGCCTCGCTGCCTGATGGTCGCCTTCTCGAATTGTACCTTGTACCCCAGTACACTTACCTGAACCCAAATATCAACCTGATGAAAGCCAACACAACCCAGTGTTGGCGAACCAGTCCTGGAGCCAGCCAACACTGGCTAACATAACCTGATGAAAGCCAACACAATCTAGTGTTGGTGAACCATGCCCCGAACCCTAATTAGGAAAGGTGGATATACCCTTCCCTTTTTCCTCATATATTTAAGCACGCGCACCCTTCAGATATTCTCTCTTTTACGCAATGTCTTGACCCTGGTACTACACCTGTACCGCGCGATCTAGTAGATAGTTGACAATCTCATTATTTCACCTCACGTAATACTCGAGCAGATCCCATCTATCAGTTTCGTGACAAAAGGTACCCTTATTAAACAATATTTAATGCTTTAATGATCAGTCCAGTATTCTACTCTCAGAAACAGTATACTAATTCAAGATAATCCTTATCCAGAGCCATATAAAGCTGGCGTTCGACTTTGGATGCAAACTGTTTGGTATGTTCCTCAGCAGATGTTTTTTTTCGGCAAGTGTTAAGAAAATGAGATATATTATGTAATTATAATGAGGGAAAGCGCAATACCGCCATTTATGTGAGCTAGAGCCACGCCAAGCCCTGCCGCCTGCATGCCGACAATGAAAGATGAGCTAGCTCATGTATAAAAGCGGCAGAGTCGTCGCTTGAGGCCTATACACTTGTATTTTGGTCTAAAGGTTATTCCTACTAAATCAATATGACTAGCAATCAGTCACATGGACAGCCCTTACAAGGGCAGTTATCAACGATGGAAGTGTTCTTTCCAGGCTTCTTTCGTTTCTCCCCCATCGTCCAGAAATATACAAACATAAACCTAGATGCGGTAGTTCCTGTATTGTGTATCTACGCATCACTGGCTTTCCTTTATAAACATATATCAAACTGGGTAGGGACGCATCTCAGTGAGTCAATCCTTCCATAGAATTAATTCTCTTTCTCATTATAACAGCTTCAACTATTCACATCTCTTGTAATAGTGAGGTGCATCAAATGCTTCTTTCATGGGTGTTGCGTCAGTCATTTGCTCAAAATTGCCGCTCATCCCTCGTTATTATCGGCCTGGACGAGAGAAATGGTGCTATGAAGAAGCTTCTGAAATATTATCCTTGGAATGTAAAGTTGCTATTTTGGTACAAGAATAATCTAATTTTCCTCCGCCATGTGGACAAAAGAAGTCAAGCCCCGTGGTTCCGAACACCAGAGGAAATTTCGCTTTCCTGTTTTGGATGGTCTCCGCAAATTCTCAAGGATCTCTTGGAAGAATGTCGTCGAAATTACCTAGTGGAACTGCAGGGTCAAACGGTCGTGTTTGAAGTCAAAGATGGAAAATGGCAACTGTCAGCCACAAGGGGCCACCGACCCATGTCGACTGTCCTCCTCAACGCCGAAATCAAAAACGCATTGTTGGCCGACATCACGAGATTCCTTGGCCAAAAAACACGCGAATGGTATAATAAGCGTGGCATTCTTTATAAACGAGGGTATCTGCTATACGGGCCTCCTGGAACCGGCAAATCCAGCCTGAGCTTTTCGATTGCCGGGCATTTCGACTTAGACATCTACATTCTGAACTTGGCCAGTATTACCGATGAAATATTGGCTTCTTTATTTGAAAATCTCCCGCAGCAGTGTATCGTTCTCCTGGAAGATGTAGATGTGGCTACTACAAATCGATTTATCGATAGAGAATCAACTCATTTCGACCCCTCCGCTAATCTGGAAGAAAAGAAATCACTAGGAGTCACTCTCTCTGGGCTGCTTAATGCTCTTGATGGTGTCGGATCACAAGAAGGTCGACTACTTATCATGACAACTAATTACCCCGACCGACTAGATTATGCGCTTATCCGGCCTGGCCGAATTGACCTGAAAATAGAACTTCCGCTGGCTGAGAAGGCAATTATTAATGAACTTTTCCATATCGTCTTCAAGGATACCAAAAGTGATGAGGTGATCGAACGACTTGGTAACGAGTTTACTAGCCTTATGCCAGAATCGGAGTTCAGTCCAGCAGAGGTTCTCTCCCTTCTGTTAGAACATAGGGACTCTCCCGAAAGTGCTATTGCCGGAGTGGAAGCATGGGTAGCTAGAATTAGGGAGGAAAGGCAGAAAAAGCTGAAAAGAGAGTTTCTTGGGTGTATGGGGAGTAGATATGGTGCGAAGAGCTGAAGTAGCAAGCAGAGCTCAAGCGAAAGAGAGCAGGCAGCATTATTTTGCAACCCTGAAAGCTCTTTGATCAAGTAAATAGCTTTTAAAGACTTAATGGACGCTGATCTGACCACCATGCATAAGAATTTTACTATTAAAACAGTAGAACGCAAAGCGCTTCTGTTTTCGGTATCAGTCGGTCCCGACCACCATTGCCTCCCAGCAGATCTTGTTTCTTGGCCCCTTAAAGAGATATCATAATAAGAGATAGCGGTTTAACTTATGCTAGGACTTTAAGAGATGGCACCAGGCTTACTTAGCCTAATGTCTTTTCTGGTTGTAGAATTTTCGAGTTAACTAAACAGAAAGTATGAGTCTTCATTCTTATGGATTGGAGAAATGAGATATGTTCTTCACCTCCTAGTTTATCACTTCTCCTCTCCATCTTCCATGATCTTTGGCTGCGCATATTCCCTTAATTTTGCTTGATTCACACAATGCTTATGCCGCAGAGTGTCCTTTTTCTTAGTGTTCGACGGAGGCATGACCATGCATGGCTTCGTTGTTGTAGATGGCGGTGGTGGTCGATCTGATATATGGCTATTGCTGAAACAAAGGTCTTCATTACTAAGCAAGGCCGGGAGTGAAGACTTATTCCATGTTGTAAATGACTTGTTCCAAGCTGGGCTACTGGAGCCCGGTTTCGAAATGCTTTGGTTCGAGGTAGAGGATACTTTCGGCGGTGCGGTGCCGAATATTGATGTCTGGTCAGACCAATGTTGCATCTTTGCTGGACTTTTTTTTTGAGGAATATTGATTGGAGTGGATGTGTTCGGCTTGCAAGCTTGAGAAAACGGTGCTGCACGATCCTGCGACATTATCATGAAAACCAGCAGTTCCGGGTCGAGAATTCAAATCCAGAGAGAGAATGAATGATGTGTGGGGAGTACAGATATATAAATAGAGAGAGCAGGGCGGGGACATCCTTGAAAAGAGGGATACCCGTACTTCCGGAGATGTGACTGCAGATTGGATATCAAATAGTATTACGTTCATCAATTGAAGCGCCGAAATAGCGTGGGATGCCAGTGAAAGAGGGTAGGGGATGGCATATATAGAACTCAGTAGATTAAAGCATTGCCGAGACGCCGTTACATGCTAAAAAAGGCCTTATTATGGAATCACATTATCTTTGCACTCAGGGGCAGCGATTGTTCACACAGATTCTCTAATCTTGGGTTTAACAGAACAAGAAACATTTCACAGATCTCTTCCACTTGATCTAGTATAATTGTGTCCAAGATGAATTTGTTCGTCGCTGTTCTCCTTCTCTATAGAAGCCTGACCAATGGCCTTTCTTTCTACTTCTGCAGTTGTTGGGCGAAGCCTAGGCTTTGAACACGGTGATCGTGTGTCAACGGAGGAGAGCAAAGGTATTGACAGCGAGAGCAGGTCAACGCACAGTGGAGCTCTCTCCACGATGATGATTGATCATACCGAGTTTGTTCATTTGTCCGTGATTTGCATAACAATAATCCTCTGTGAATGTAAGCGCAGATTTCATACATCAATCTTGTTGTACTTATATGCTTAATTGGATATTTGCCTGTTGACTACTCTTCACAGGACCTCAGCCTTATAAATACCTTTTATTGAAATTCCTTTCGGCAAGAGTCCATCCATGCATGCACGTATCATCTGCATAATCAGGAGGACCGTCTCGAGCCTTAATTCCTGAAATTCATGCGCGCGCGCTATCTCTCTGTGTCTGCAAGGGATTCTTAGGAGTTTGTTCTTAGACTCAGATGTTGCGTCGAGCGTTCTCGAGGCTTAAGTTTGAAACGATAGCCTTGCATAAGAGATGCTAAGACTAAGGATGAAAGCGTCGACACCGTGTACGAAATCTACACTGATGAGTAAGTGAGATCAAAAAAAATGAGTATACGGACCTGTAACTCCCACTCCCCTCCTGAAATACAGAATAACAGGGCAAGTGGCGTGTTCACCAGAATAACAACAAGCATCCTCGCCACAATAATGAAAGCAAATATATGCCTTCTTGTCATATCATCACCATAAAATATTTCCAATGTTGTTATGATCAATCTAAGTCCTTCAATAAACCACGAAGCAGCTCGCTTCATTTTCGTAACGCGTCCCTGCTCCAGCTCGCCCCGGAAATCTCGGTTAATAAAAACCGAAGAAATGCGAGTGACTTCCACTGTATGCCATGTATCGAAAGCGGCCACGAATATGAGGAGAATAGACGTTACTCTGTGGAGAAGTGCACCTGAAGAACGCCTGGAATGATATTAGCTTCTAAGATTGAAAATATAATCAAAGTATAGTACTAACCCTATCATAATGATAATGCCGCATGTTGTGGATACAAGAACCGGAATGATTGATGGCCTCAAAATTTGGAAAAAATCTCCCTTTAAGTAGTTTTGCAGAAGTCTTCCTGTAAACTTGGGCCCATTCTCAAACAACATTGCAGAACTCTCGTACTGAGCACTTTGTCAGGCACACTGTCAGAATATAGGACAGGATAGTAGCCTACCGCAAGTGAAGCAATGATTGCCGTTAAAAAATACTGAAGTATTATGATAACCGATGTAAATATATCAATACATTCCTTTACGCATTCCTTCACACATTCCTCCTGTTCTCCAATGGTAGTGATTGCAATTGTTGATACAGCCAACCCCAACGCAATAAAAGAGAACACGAGGAGACGGATAGGGCTAAGTGGGAGGAGATCTGGCTTTTGCTTTTCCCGACGAATCCAAAGAAGTAACAGGGTGACGAGGAAGAGAATGGTCCCTGTCAAAATACAAGGAATAAATATGGATTGAGGCCATGGTAGCATTACGGCGGATGGCTCCTGGCTACCAACGTCTCGGGCTGTGCTCATATGATCGTGCTGCTGCAGATGGCCTCGTACTCCGGGGTTCGAAGCTGGTTCATGCAAAGATGAACACGCCATCAAGGTGATCGCGTCTAGGCTGCGTTGGACGGGTGATATCCAGAACGGGCGGAGAGAACGAGAGTATGCAGATTCTCCCTGCTGGATTGCGAACCAGCAACATATGTAGGGGTCAGCCATCTTAAGCAGAGTACGGGATTCTAGTGTGTCAATTATTGGCCCATAACATGGACGGTCTGTGAGTGGCTTGATAGTGATGCTGCAGCAGAGACTTGGCTCACGCCTCGCGAATTCGAAGATCAGTGGCAGAAGCGGCAGCCACCTGAAAGCATCACATCTCATGCCGACCATACGTCAATGTTTCGCTTACCCATGTTGACAAAATGCATTGATAGAGTGGTAATCTCTTACATCGTAGGAGAACTAAAGTGTCATTATTTTGCATCCTCCAGATAGATCACAAAAATACTATTCGCTTTTTGCCGTTGCAGCAGCAGGACAGCATACGAGAGCGTGATGTACGGGGGACAGCAAGGGTAAGGGTAGCACTGGAGGACTCCAGCGCTGGATTGAAAATTGCGGTTAGCGCGTCGACCAGTGGTCGACGCGCTAGCTGCTTTCAATCAGGCAGCGAAACATCACCTTATCGTTGCACCAAGGCTAGCCTAAGCTAGTTAGTGCTTGAGATTGCTGAGGTGCAGGGTTCAAAGCAGCAAAGTGGAAAATAATGTAAATTGATGTATTTTTGATGAAAATATGTTCTTATAATGATCCTGTGTATTGTTGTATATATTTTGGTTTATCTTTACAGAAAACGGGAGATCATGTGATATTCCTGCAACACTTAAGTTACTTATTGTTTCTTGCATGGAAGGTTGTTGGATACAAAGCACAACAACAGCGAGAACTCTCACCTTTGGAATAAAGAGCTCAATTGTGTTCA